AGAGAGGCGTGAGGACGATGAAGGTGCAAAGCGAGCAGTGCGCACGTTGGTCGGCCATGGCGCTCGGCCGTGCTGGCGGTAGTCGTCCTCTCTCTCTCTCTCTCTCGCGCGCGCGGCCATGGCGCTCAACCATGCTGGTGGTCGTCGTCCTCTCTCTCTCTCTCTCTCTCTCTCTCTCTCTCTCTCTGCTTGCAATCTCTCTGCCGTTGAAATCCAGGATCGTAGTGAGTGATCCAAGGACCCTCCTCCTTCGATTCTAAAGCCCAGCGTACCAGAGACCTCCGGCCTATAGCCACGTAGACCCTTGCAATACGCCATAGTCATACTCTTTCGGACCAGCCGGAGCCAGCCACTGGCCAATAGCAGACCACACACTAACACACAGATAGCAGCGGCCTGAACATGTCACTATTCCGCCTTACTATTCCGACTTATGAGTAGGTGCAACGAGATCCCTGGCACACACCCACGGGTCAATACTAACGTAGCCTGACAGTTACTATTGTACAATTTTGAAAACACGTGATACCCAGTGTTCTAAACGAAATAAAGGAATTCGTATTACACAAATAAAATCAAAATAAAATTATCGCATCACTTTTAAAAAGAAGGAAAATCCTACTTCCAACGTCCGTCCCTAAGGCGCAGCTCTGCGGCCCGTACTTGCTGTCTTTTCAACTTAAGTAGTGAGAACACCAGAGGTCGAGTTTATGCGGATCGTCATCCGCAACGAAGGAAAAGTCCTGAGTGGGCAGGCAAAACTCTCCGGGAGTGGTTACAGGAGTATTGACGTGCTCAGAGGAGCAAGGCGCCATGCAGATCTTCGTGAAAACCCTCACGGGTCAGACTATTACCCTTGAGGTAGAGGCATCGGATACCATCGACAATGTGAAGACCAAGATAAGGAGGGTATCCCTCCCGATCAGCAGAGGTTGATTTTTGCGGGTAAGCAGCTGGAGGATGGATGCACTCTTGCGGACTACAACATCCAGAAGGAGTCGACTCTGTATCTTGTGTTAAGGCTTCGCGGCGGAGCGAAGAAAAGAAAGAATAAGACCTACACAAAGCCAAAGAAGATCAAGCACAAGAAGAAGAAGGTCAAGCTTCCGACCCTTCAGTTCTATAAGATAGATGATAGAGGGAAGGTCACTCGCCTTCGGAAGCAGTGTCTGAATCCGGAATGCGGGCCGTGAACTTTCATGGCCAACCATTTTGATCGACACTACTGCGGCAAGTGCGGTCTCACATACGTGTACCAGAAGGCCTCTCAGGACTAAGGTTTGCGGCACGTCTTTTGTCATGTTTGTGAGGCAGGCGGCACATCTTTTGTGGTCTACGTGAGGGGAAAAATGGACGTAGCGAGGAGGCAGGGGCAACTATCTATTATTCGAACTGTCGGTTGCTTTCTGGGGGTGCGTACTACGAGCAACAGCCTAGACGCGTTACTGAAACGAATCGGTCTTAGGGTTTCAAGCTTTCAACTAAGTATCCAAATCGAAAGTTCATCTGGAGAACTTGGATCCCATGCCTGTGGCGTGGATGTCCAGTTATGTTGACCTGGCTCTCCAGTTTTGAATCATCCGAGATTTACCGAGTCGTTATACACGCCATGTTTGCTGATAAATAAATAAATAAATAAATAAATAAATAGTAGTGAGAACAGTAGGTATGGTACACAGTGGTCCCATAACGTGATACTGACAGATAGATCCCTGCCTTCAAAGGAGGCCGTCTAATTACTCTTGATGAGTACCCATGTCCGCTGGCAAGGAGGGGACTTATGACCTTACGCGGGGGTGGTAAGCCTCCTACCAAAGCGGCCACGGGTCACCCTCCTTTTGGGGTCCTACATTGCTAGGCTCGAGAGGTAACTTTCACAACAACTGAAACACGAGGGGTCGCACCAGTTTAAGCTGCCAGCATGTAATCAAAATTATAAACAGTGACAACAAACTATATCTTGATCCCTGGTTATGCAGCATGTAAAGAGATCCCGCTGGGTATACAAATTTTGGGCTGAGCAGGTAAGGGTAATTTGCAGCGACTGAGATAGCAGCTTGTAGGAAGGAATTGCTAAGGTAGACGGCGAGACCTGGATGCTCGGTTTATGGTTCATGCCGCAGGAGGCAGGCAGAAAGGTTGAAAGTGGAAGGAGCTCTATGGCGTTCAATGGACCCGACTCCAGTTGCCGTGTTAGGCAGTTCTAGATGGGTTAGCTAATGGATTTGGAATGAGTTTACCCATGGAATGTTAGAATAGGTCAGATGGTTGGTAATGAAACTTAGGATTGGAATAGGCTAGACTGGGAGATTTTAGTAGTGGATGTAGGCTTTCGTTCTTTTATATTTCTGGCTGGGAGGTTGTCCTTTGTTCCGGTTTGTTTGGAATTTGTGAGCTTGTGGTTTCCTTTTTTTTTCTACGGGTTGGGCCTATCACGGCAACGGTCTGAGTTTCGTCACTTTCTGCTCCTGGATCAAATCCCAAACACCCACAACAGAACTAGGCAATGGCCTCAGTAACTGTTCTTCCGGGTTGTTTGTGGAGGGATTCCCGGCCTCCCCCTTTGGACTGGAATATAATGAGCATGGTCTTTCTTGTGAAAAAAAAAAAAAAAAAACGTTTGTTCCCCCGCGAAATGACAGAAAAGGGAAACAATAATCAATAAGACAAGATTAAAATAACGAACTTTTAGAATTGTCAAGGTGTGTTACATCGTCACGGCAGTTCGTAGCCTCTTGATCCGTCGGAACTAGAATCACGGCCCGGATCATAGCGCAGATTGAAAACGCAGCTTTTAGAATTGTCGAAGAAAGTTATATCGTCGCGGCAGTTCGTAGCCTTTTGATTCGTCGGAACTATAATCACGACCCGGATCATAGCGCAGATTGAAAACGCTGTGTTTCACTTTCTCTTTCACGCATCTATTTTCTTTTCTTCTCTTTGTTTTTTCCTTTTCCTTTGACAGCGAGCGCGGTTACAGTATCCATAACTCGACGAGGGTGAGCTTGGCGCGCAGTAGAAAGGACCGCGCCAGTCCTACTACCATCGCGTCCCTGGGCGAGCCCGGTGGCTACCACGGGTACGGGCCAGTTGTGCTCTGCTGCGCAGCAGGGCGCCGAGACTGCACGGACGAATGGGAAGTCTAGTGGTGCACCCCCACCTTTTCGCTGAGGTGAGTGGCAACTGGAACTGGTCCGGAATCAAGTCGTAAGATAGATGTGCCTGGTACACCACAGAAAAGCCATCTATGCTGAGAGTGTGGCTGGTACACCAAGGAGGGTTGGGACACAGCGCCTTCTGACAGCTAGCACACAAGTGCTTTTTTTTTCAGGCTCACCTGTGCATTGCTGTTCATGCATCTCTCTCTCTCTCTCTCTCTCTCTCTCTCTCTCTATCTATCTATCTATCTATCTATCTATCTATCTATCTATCTCACGGGCG